GGCACCAGCTCCCGTGAGCTGCCCTCACCAGGATGGCCTGAGAGGCAAATGCCTCTGAAAGCTTAGGGAAGAGAGTCTTGGTCCCTCCTTTTTGCTCCCAATATCTACCCCAACCACTGCTTGTATCTAAGGCCTGGACTTCCACTGGCTCCTTCCTTTGACCTATGACAATCTCTCTTGCCAAAATGTAAATGTTCCCTGAGGGCCTAAATACTAAGCTCTCATCGTGAAAACTTTAGAGGGGATGAGATTATTATAATACTTTTCATGGGCCCAGGATGGGTGAGCTTTGAAAAGGCAGAGAAAGAAGGAAGAGTCTGACTCTTATTGGGAGGGATGTTGGGTGGCATGCTGTGGCTGAAGGTTCAGAGCAACAGGGGACTTCTGTTGACTGGTGGGGAAACTGTAAATGCTCAGGAAGGGGCCTGAGAGGGATTGTGTTTCCCATTTAACAGTTTGGTTTAGAACGCCATGCAGACCATGAGTGTGAGAGGTCCGCGTGGGCTGGGGGTCCCTCAAACAATGGAGAGTTCAAGATCTCAGCAGAGGTCAGAGGAGAGCAAGAATGAAAGTGACAAAAGCTGGGGCAGGACAGGCTAATTAGCTTTCCCCTTTTCCTTCTGCCATTTGACCTGATATTTGAGGTGACATTTAAAGCCATTGTACAGATGTGTGGTGAGCCATGGTGGAATGAACACTTTCTGGAGCCTGTGGAGAGATGAGGCTGATTTCTCAGCCGTTTGGCTGGCAGCTTCTCAGCCCCTCCCTGTGGGACCCTCTCCTAAGCCTAGAGGGGAGGCGGGGCATGCCTTTACTACCTAGGAAACTCTAGTCGGATTTATGACTGAGAATCCCCCTCCCTCCTTGACTGTTAGAATGTGTTGGTAAGGTGGGTACACTCTGGAATTCAACCAAGATAGTTCAGTGATTTAAGTCAGTGCTGTGTTTAACAGAAAGGAGCAGGGACAGAAGCTGGTAGAGTTCACCATTTCAGAATCATATAAGGAGTTTGTTAAAAATGCAGGTTTCTGGGGGTGAGGCCTAGTTATCTGCATGGAAAACCAACCCTCTAAGGTGACTCTTCTGCCCATTAAACTTTGAGAACCCCTGAGATAGTGAATGAATGAGGTTAGCTTGGAAAAGGCCTCTTGGGAGAGGTGGACTTGAGTTTCACTATGATAGGTAATACTTGTCTTAGGTGCTGTCCTCAGGTATGGACTTAAGGAGCCTGTTTACCTCAGGATATCAGGCTCTCATAGGAGAAACTGGCAGGTATCCATCCCCTCTCAACCCATGGATGGTGTGGCTGTGAATGTGTTGCCATAGGCTTCACTTCACCACTTGGGTGCTAATCACCAAGGGGACAGAAGTGGTGTGGGAGGTGGCTGAGGATGGTGTCTGCTGGAGTGTTTGTTTCGTGTTGCAACTGAAGCACAGCTTGCAGGGCAAAATGGCAGCCTGGTGGTGCCTACTTCCTAAGGTGGGGTGGGGGGAAAACATCATGTTGGCAGACAGTTCTCGCTCTGGCATGCAGACACTAGCAACTGTGCCACCTTCTGTGTTGCTTTTACTCATTAAATAGCCCCATGTGCCTGGGGAGCCGGCCAGTGCTGCCACAGGAACAGTGGTCATTGCTGTCCAGGGAGATGAGTGGGAAAGATCTGGGATGTGATTGGTTCTCTCCTCCCTCCGTGCTGCTTGCCTTCTGCTCCATACATTTGTGCTGGGTTTATCTGATCAGGAACACAGTGTTTCCGTGTTGGGGTGGGTAGAGACAGGGAGAAAAAACAGTGCCAAATTGAGAAGAAGGAACAGCAAAGAGAAGGGGATACATCTATGTTGTGACATTGAGTAACCAGCGATCATCAAGATGGGTGATAGACGGAATGGATGGGCTGCTGCTGGCCTGGAGGTGCTTCTTGTCCCTGGAGAACGTGTCTCTGTAGCCAGCTGAGTGGGCTGGAGGAACCATGCCAATGGCCATGCTTGCTTTGACCACAATGAAGGAAGGAGCTACTGCAGAGCATTAAGGCAATCAACAGCAACAACATAAACCTAATAAAGCTCTTTCTTGGCCAATATCCTAGCCTTTCTAATTGCACTGCAGCTAAATTGCAACTCTTACAGTCTCTTGGAACATTTTATTCAGCTTCTGGAGGGGCTGTATTTAAAGTAAGGCTTATGAGGCTCTACAGGAGGTGGAGAAAGAGCAGTGAAGGGCTGGGGAGCTCCAAGGAACCCAGCTTGATGGTTTGAAGCCAATCTTTAGTAAAATTCCTGGTTGAATGAGTTCATCCTGAGCCTGACCCCAACAGATATGCTTGAGGCTCGCAGTTTGTGAGGGAAGTGCTTGTACCCATATTTTTCTTATATGTTTATTCTCTGTCATTGAAAAAGAGGCTGTATGGAATACTTTGCCTTTGACTACCAGAAGGAAGGGAACAGGGCCAACTTCTTTCTCTGGGCCCAAGAATGGGGTGTGGAACAGTAGTATTGGCACTATCAGAGTGGTTTACACACTGTCCACATTCACTAGGACTTTCTGTCTCAGAGTCAGGCACTCTTCTCCCAGGCCACCCTGTCTGTGTCTCCTGCACTGTGGAACCCCTGGGTGTGCCCCTCTCATGTCAGGTTTCTCCCGAGTTGTGTTAGCGAAATCCACTGTGGGCATTCTTATTTAGAGATGCTTTCCCTCAGGGTATCTGCAAGCCAGGAGCCAAAGAAAAATATGAAAGGCTATTAGTAAGTGGCCACATATGCCTGCTCTGTACTCAGTCTGTGCCCATGGCATGTCAGCACTGCCCTGGAGATCCTGCCTTACGGTGAGGATGTCCATCACTCTGTGAAAGATGTCACAGTTCCTCAGAGAACAGTTCAGAGCCCCAGAAACTCTCTTTGGGGGGAGACAGATGGCACATACTTTTTTCTCAGCCCTGCCACCTACTAGAAAAGCAAGTTATTTAACCTCTGGGAACATGAGTTTTCTGTTCTGTAGCCTGGAGAAAGTGATTCCTATTCTATAGACCTTGCCAAGCTGTTAAGAGGCCCAAAGTTGATGAGGGATGTGAAAGTACTTTGTGAGCTAAAAAAGTCCTGGCCACACCTGAATGATGGATTTTGTTAATCATAGAAGAAGGGGGACGCTATGGGTTAGTGCACTTCTCTCTGGAGGGAGAGGAAGAGGGGTTTGCATTCTTGTGTTAACTAAACTCTGAAGTCTTGTCCATTTAAGGTTATTAAGTCTTGTCCATTTAACAAAATAATCCTCACAAAGTCTGCGAGGTGGCTTTTGGGCAGTGGTGTCTGCTCAGTCCCAATGCTGCCCTTTAAGGAGCCAGGATTCAGTCAATGGTGGTTCTGGGTCAGAGCAGTGGAGACTGTGGCTCTGCTCACTTCTTCCCTCTCCCTCCTTGCTCCTGACCCTGACATGCCTCCTCCCCAGTCTGAGTTCTGTCAGAATCTGCAGCCTGTCTTGTCTTGGAGGCCTAGGCCCCCAGGAGGAGCTGACGCGGAGAAGGGTCTGCTTCTGTCAGCTGCCGGAAGGAAATCAGAAGACCTGGGATGCAAACATTTCTATTAGGACAGTGAGAAGATATTGCTGGCATGGTCTAGGTTGAAATAAAAGCTGTGATGAATGTGTACATGCTGCTGGGAAGTTGTTAGGCCTGGGGTACAAGGTTGTCCCAGACCTAGGGTCCCCTTTGGTTTCACTTCTGTGAGGGCTCCTAGCCACTGGGGAATAGCCTCACCATGTGGGTGGGCAATCACTGTGAAATGGGTCCCCCACATGGCAAGGACATGATGCCCTGTCATCCTCTAGGCCTTAGGCAGTGCCTAGGGACTGAGGCCCCCATAGTCCATTCCTTTCCCTGACAGAAAAGCAAAATCATGTTTTTATGGGTATTCAGACACATTTGCCTATTTATTCATTCTACTACTAAATACTTGAGCACTTGCAAAGTCCAGGGCACTATATGAAGCACTTTCAGGGATGCAGAGATGATTATACAGTAGACTATATTATCTTCATGGAGTTTATGGTCAAGTAAGGGAGCAGAGCCATATATGAAGGAGAAAGTGAAATGCAATATACGGTTGGGGAGACCAGGGAAGACCTCCTGGATTCTGTTGCATCTGAGTTAGACATTAGGAAAATCCAGGAGGATTTGACCACGATGAAGTGGGGGAGTGGGGAGGACATGCTATTGGGAGGAAGAGCAGGGCAAAGGCATGGAGATAGAAAACCATGGGATGTATGGATGTGGGGGAACTATAAACTGCCAAGAGGGGAAGGTGGAACACTTGAGTACTGTTACCTACTGAGAGCTATTCCAGAAAGGCTAAATTCTTCCTTTTCTTGGAGCCTCACAAGAGCTCTGGGAGGCAAATGCTTTTCTCTCCAGTTCATAGAGGAGGAAGCTGGGGCTTAGGGAGTCGATGTAACTTGATTGAAGCCTGACAACTATGAAGTGGTTGGAGGCTCTGAACCCATGACTGTGCGACTCTAGAGCCTATGCCGTGTCCACTATAACAGAGGATCCATGAAGGACTTAGGGAGAATGGGTCTGTGGCCTTTTTCTGGTCACATAGGTCTAGCAGTCTTGAAGGGGGAGTGCCTGTGGTTTTCACAGAGCAAGGCCATGGGGAGGTGTTGGGTCCTCTGAGCTGACTTTGGAGTCCAGGATGGCTAAGCTCCTGACTTCCCACTCCTGTCCTATTAGGGGAGCCACTGGCCTCTGGCCTCTGGCATGGGAGGCAGAGGGAGCCAGGATGACAGGAGATCTGGGAATGAAATTCAAAGCTTGGTCATGACTGTGGATTCATTCTTAAAACCACCTCTAACGTAAAGCCTTTGTGAAAGTTCCCCCACCTCCCCTCCCCATCTCTGATCTCCCCTTGGGCCCATGCAAGATTCGGTCTGCACAAGGTGGCCGTGTTCTGCTCTTGTTCCTTTGTTGCTGTGAAACAGGCTCCCTGCACAGTCAGCCTCTGTGTGGGAGGACTGGTGGTTGTCTTTGCAGGCAGGCATTTGCTTAGAGCAGGCTGCGTGTGAGCCCCACGTCAAGAAATTCCGGCCTCCTCAGTCAGCGTCAGTGGAACTAGACTCTGCTGAGGGGACTGGCTGTGAAGGATGAGTTCAGGGTGGGATGACGGACCGCTTCTGGGACCAGTGGTATCTTTGGTATCTCCGCTTGCTCCGGCTGCTGGATCGAGGTATTGCTCTGTGTGTGTGTGTGTGTGTGTGTGTGTGTGTAAGAGAGAGAGGAAGATATATACACACAGAGATGGAAGCAGAGACAACACAGAGAGAGACACAGCAGGGGTGGGGTGGTGGTGGTATGGGGAGCAAGAAGGGAGTGAAAAGGGAATGACAGAGGTGAGTAGCCAACCCACGGAAAGTAAAGAAAGGCTCTTTTTCTGGGGACATTTGTGACCCAGCTGGCAATCAGGAGCAGGGCGCCATTTGGAGAACGTCTGTGTATCAGGACTTCATTTCTTGCTCAGTACTATAGTCAAAGAGAAGTCTGGCCCTGTCTTGCAGGGCTCTTGATAGAACACTGAGAAGCAGTGCAGCAAGGAGAATGGTCCCTGCAGCAAGAAGCTGGTGGAGGGAGGGGGGGGCCCAAACGGACACAGGCTCCCATCTCAGCTCTGCGACCCCTTGCTGATTTATGTGACCTTTCTGAGCTTGTTTTCCCTTCCGTAAATGGGCATGGTAAAACCTATCTGCTTAATTTGTTGTGGAATTACTATTTAATCCATACCTGTAAAACAGATAGCATGATATCTGGTGCACAGTAGGTGCTTTATAAGTGTTCATTTCCTCCTATGCCTCTCAGCATCATGGAGTTTATTGTGCCTGTCCTGAGCACAGCTCCTGTTGTGGATTATGTGTAGGTAGGGCTAGCCAGTACAGAATTTGCAGTTAGTGGAAAGGGAAGGGAAGGTTTGTGTTATTACTCGGATTAATCTGACCTTAATAACATTCCCTCATCAAATACTGATGCAATTTAAATCTCCTGGCCATGCGACACAAGTCCAGACATTGCATTGTAAAGAAAAGCCACTGTGAGCTGAGATGAGTAATGGATTTTTAAAACATGTTTAGTGTTATTTTTAAAAAGCTCCGACTCCTTTAAGAGGTTTTGACTAGAAGGAGATCAAACCCCTGACAGAAAAGGTGGTGCTGGGGAAGCCCTGCTACATGCCCCACTGTATCCTCATCCCCACTGGGAAGTCTTAGGTGTGCCAGGAGGTCAGTGCCAGGTGGAAGCGGAGAACTGCACAGAGCAGGGCTCTTATCGGTCGGAAATCAAAGATGGAGGAAACCAGACCAGCACTTGTGAAAAGCAGTCTCTCACTAGCATTGAGAAACAGGCCAGTGGGAGCTTGGACTAGAGATTAGATGAGAATGTTAGGAAGAGAGCCAGAACTTCTAACCAGCTGAAACCATAGCCTGGGGGAAGGAGAAGGAGACCACAGGCGTGAACCCTCCTTATCTATGTGACCTCAGGCAAGTGACTTTACCTCTCTGTGCTTCCTTTTTTCATTTTGAAAGGGGGTGGCAATGATAGCAGCACCAACTCAGAGGTTGCTACAGTGCTTATTCCAGTGCCTGGTATGAAGAAAATGCCCTTTAAATGTTAGTTTTCATTACCAACACAGTTAATCTTCACTCTCCTCAAACGTCTTAGGAAGGGCAGGAACAGGTGGTATATAATCACCAGGAGCTGAGAAAAGTCCAATTAAGAATTGTTAGAGGTTTAGAGACGATTTATACTTTCACGAATTAAAACAAGATTCCAAATCACCTATGATACTTATTATAAGAAGAAACTTGATGTTAATGTATAACCTATACTGCCAATAAAAATAAGTTTTATTTTTTTAGAAAATGCTCAGATTCATAAGTTGCAAACCAAGGTTGAGATTTTGGCTCTATTACTAAGTACCCTTGAATAAATAATTTACCCTCAAACTGACCCTGTTTGTTTAACTGAAAAATGGGAATATTAATAACAATACCTATGTTACAGAATTTTGGGGAAATTGTGTTAGTGCTTGTAAAATTGTCGGGCATTCTTAGAAATGTCAGGTTAGTGAATTTGTGGATTGAAGGATTAACCTGTCTCCTTGACAGCAAAAGTTGGTTGCCAGAATTGTGTGTTCTCTCGTGCATGTTTTGTCATCATGTGTGTCTGTAATGGGAAAGCTTCTGGTCTTTCATAAACAGTGTCTCTGTGGTTTTCTTTAATGTCAGGCTTTAGACTAGCAGCTTCTGATTGTGTAGGGCAACTAATTTCCAGGCTTTTGAGGGGTTGGGTATTGATTATGTTGCCCAGTTCCATTTAATGGGTATCACAGTATTACACATGTACACATGTACATGTGTGCACACCCACATCCATGTTCAAGCAGAATTTTTGGATATGCAACTTCCCTCTACTAAGTAATGTTAGCTAGCATTCTATAGACAATGGCATGCTTTAACATGACATGATAGATTGAGCTAACCCGTGGGAGATGCTCAATAAATATTTGTTGAATGAGTGGATGAATGATGAACCTGTCCTTTTGGGCAGTGAACAGAATTCTCTTAGATCTCTTTTTAGTTTGACAGAATTTAGCTCCCTTGGTCTGTTTTTGGATTTTGTATTATTTCACCCTAACATTGTCATGCCTCTTGTCATCTTGAAAGTAACAGGCTTCAAGAAAGTGAGGAGGGAATAAGAAATGGGAAGAAGTGGGAAATGATGAGCTTAGCCCAGGAAACTGAAATAATTGACAGGCTGTGTGCCAGCCTGAGTCATTCTCTTGGCTGTGACTGGGGGATAAATGAATCTGAGATTTGCCACACCTAGGGAAAGGGAGGAAGCATTAGAACACATCATAGAGCAGAAATAAACTTCACGTAGAGAAGACAGTGTATCCTTGGTGATTGCAGACCAATCTTTCATCTCCCCCATCATTATTCTTTATGTGTAAGGATTTAAAACAAATCAAAGGAATTGTTTTCTTGCACTGTACTTAACTATATGTAAGGATTTATATGATAATGAACTGCCAGCTTCTTCATTATCATGATTATTTTGAGGGTTTATTTCATTAATAGTAGATGCTGTTTTACAGTATTTGTTACTGGACGTTTGTCACTCTGCTGATTGTGTTTGGTGCTTACAGATGATGACTAAGGAGATGGTTCCTATGGTGAGGATTGTCCACCCAAAGAAAGGGACTCATACAGATATGAAACCTGAGTGGTATATGAGAGAAGAGAAGTAACATTGCTTTTCATTGTTGAATTTTGGTATATCCATGGGGACTTGATGAGTGAGGTGGAGGTTTACATTCCTTTGTTTACATGCTTTTTGGTAGTGAAAGGGGAAGAATGAAAATACTGATGTTTTTTATTCATAAAGTATCAGAATGTGTTTCCCAGGGTGTGGGAACGTCCACCACCAGTAGTGCATAAGATGATGTGTAGGCACTTCACAGGTGTTGCTGGAGGTTCTCTTGTTCATCACTGCCTGGCACTGCCCAGAGGACAATCTGTTCTGCTCGAAGGACAATCTTACCTGCCTGCTGTCTGTTTCTGCTGAGCTCTCTACCCGCTTTCCCCCATTCCATCCAGCGTAGGTCCCCCTTAGCCCCACGCATCCTTCAGATCTCTCCCTGTTCCCATCTCTTCACCTCTCTCTTACTTTTCCACCAGCCCTACCTGGGCCTCACTCTGCCCTGCCTTCATCTCTGGTCCTAGATGGCTGCCGTCTCTAGCCTCCCTGTTCCTCCAGCCCATTCTTTCCTTCTGCCCTTAGGATAAAGCCACAACCCCATACCAACTGTAACCCAGTTCCCTGGCATTCCTCTGTTACTCTCTAACCCATTGCCAAGCCTCCAGCCCTTCTCACCCTTATGCCTGGGCCAACTTTGCCATGTGGATCCTGGATTTCCTGCCGTGGGCCTGTCCTTTCCTGACTTCTAACTGAGTACTTTTTCCTCCTAGGAGCTGCTGTCTTCTTTTGCTTCTGCCTTTTTATGTGACATTGCCATTATCCCCAGTCCACAAGTTTATTTTAAAAATAAATTTAAGTAAAAAATGGAGTTGATTTAAAACATTATCAAGGAAGTACTTGCAGGAGGTATGTGGATATGGTGAAGTGGGGACAGAAGTACAAAAGTGATTGTGGAAAACTAAGTGATATGTTGAATTTACAACACAGACTTTAGGCTGCTAATTTCTTCTTGATCTTCTGTCTCCATCCCCGTAGCTACCACAAAGTTCTTTGGTTTCTGGATCAGAAACCAACTGGTTCTACCCCTGGATGTACATTATAATCATTCGGGAGCTCTTAGCACAATATTCAGTTCTTCCCTTCCCACATCCCCCAGGCAATTACGGCAGAATTGCTGGAAAGCGAGCTGGACACTGGCAAGTTAAAAGAGCTCTGCAGGTGAAGAACTCTTTTGGCAGCCATGGTTGGGAACTGCTCAGTGCCACCATTTAATATGGATGCCAAGAGTAGAGGCAAAAATGACCCTTCAGCAAAATAATAAAATAAATGAGAAAATCAGTCATTGTATGAGAATAGTGAACACAGAAGTAAACATAGGAATGTACTAAGGAACAAAATTTAAAAGAGCATAATCCTTTGGCTATAATACATGTAACTTTCTTCAGAAATTTCAACTACAACCATTTTCTGCCACTACCCAACTTTCCTTCATAGTATCAGGAAAAAATTTACCTGTGTCCCAGGATGTTGTCTGGTGCCACCTTGTTTTTGGGTTTGTTGCTCTCTCTTCTGGCTACCTAGGGCTCTGGAGATTGAGGTGGTTGTTCATCACCCCAGATGTCAAAAAAAAAAAAATCCCAAAAAACAAAAACCCTAAAACATAACAATTTCCTACTTGCTTAGTGTAGCTCTAATAGGTGGTCACTGCCTGTACTCAGCTACAATTAGAGAAGGAAAAATCCCTTCTCCCTGCTGGATAAATGGGTGGTAAGGACAGTAACTTTTCTGAAGCTTCCACAGGGTTGGGCCTCTTCTTCAATCAGGAATCTACTTGTGTTTCTCACTGAAGTTTTCCTCTTCCTGCCTGGACATTCTCTGTGCCTGAACCTTCAAATCTCTTAAATGTTCTAATCTAAGGGTTGACTCTGCCCAGGTGTAGTGCAAGGTCAAGAGGCAACTGACCCTCAGGCGCAGCTCTCA